CATGGAGGAGAAGGATTCCAAGCCCAGCGAGGCGGCGGCGGAGGCGCGGAGGCAGCGGCAGCTCGCCCCCGAGGGGAGCGCGGAGCCGCGCCGGAGCCGCGGGTCCCCGCTGGAGCGCAGGGGCCGTCTAGAGCCGGGCGCGTCGCCCAAACCGGGACCCGCGTCCCTTGACTCTCCCCGCGTCCCGGCCTGCCGGGAGACTGCTTATCTGTTGACGTGCTTGGGGGATCCGGACGTGGCTCGGCTTGGAGCGCGCCCCGCGACCTGTAGGACTCCAGCCCTGGCAGCGGCGGCCGCTCGCGCCCTCGGAGGACTCGGCTGGCTAGGGGCGCGCGGGTGTCGGTGTGAGCCGCGGGTCGGCCGGAGGTCGCTTTGGAGGAGGGTCGGCGGAGAGGAGGTCTAGGAGTCTCAGACCGTGAAGCATGGAGGAGAAGGATTCCAAGCCCAGCGAGGCGGCGGCGGAGGCGCAGAGGCAGCCGGAATCCAGCCCCGGCGGTGGCACGGGCGGCGGCAGCAGCCCGAGCGATGCGGACACCGGCCGCCGGCGGGCTCTGATGCTGCCCGCGGTCCTGCAAGCGCCGGGCAACCACCAGCACCCGCACCGCATCACCAACTTCTTCATCGATAACATCCTGCGGCCCGAGTTCGGCCGCCGAAAGGACGCGGGGACTTGCTGTGCCGGCGCGGGCGGAGCAAGAGGCGGCGAGGGCGGCGCTGGCGGTACGGAGGGAGGCAGCGGCGCGGGCGGAGCCGAGCAGCTCCTGGGGTCTGGCGCCAGGGAGTCCCGACCGAACCCAGCGTGCGCACCCAGCGCCGGAGGGCCTCTCTCCGCCGCCGCCGGCGACTCTGCGGCCGACGGAGAAGGTGGCTCCAAGACGTTGTCGCTGCACGGCGGTGGGAAAAAAGCCGGCGACTCCGGGGGTTCGTTGGATGGAGCGCTCAAGGCCCGGGGCTTGGGCGGCGGTGACCTTTCGGTGAGCTCGGACTCGGACAGCTCTCAAGCCAGCGCCACCCTGGGCGCGCAGCCCATGCTCTGGCCGGCTTGGGTCTACTGCACGCGCTACTCTGACCGGCCTTCTTCAGGTGAGCCCGGGGGACAGGAGTCCCAGCCCGCCAAGGGGAGGCCCGCGGGGCTGGGGAGGGAGCTTTCCGGAAATTTTCCACAGAGTAAAAGAATCACATTTTCTCTTACACACACACACACACACACACACACACACACACACACACACAAAGACGCACACTCCTCACAGACAGTGCCAGAGCAGCAGCCAGGCAGTTGAAAGAAGGACTGGTTTTAGGGACACAGACTTAGGACAGTAAAAGACAGAAATCTCAGTCTCTATATGTCTCTCTGTCTCATGGTCTCAGTCTCTCTCTCTCTTTCTCTCTCTCCAAAGTCTGAACCTGGTCAACTCACTACCATCCTCAGGCCCCGAGCTCCCAGATCCCCCCAGAGCCAGCTATTCCAAGGCTGTGTGCTCTTCTCCACTCTTGGCCTAGGGTGACCACTAAGGAGGAACAGGGGGAAGGACTCCGGGAAAGTAGTGGAAACTGAGGCACCTTTTCCCCTTTGTCACTTGATTTGGGGAACCGTGTAGTACCACACATCCTGCCAGCATGCAGCTTGGCTTAAAGGTACAACCATCTCGGAACCTCTAGCCCCCAAGCCAAAAGGAATCTTAAAGGGTTTTATAGTGCTGCCAGAAGTGAGGAAGAGGCGGGTTTCAGAGGGGGTGTGAGGAGGCTTGGGACACGTTTTCTCCGTTCGTTTATGATTTTTAGGACCTCATAAAAACCACCAGCCACATTCGATGCGGGTCTCGGTTAGGGAGCGCCATTAGCAATGGGTTTCATTTGTCCATGAGCTCAGGGAGGCCCCATCGCCACCGAATCCTCAGTTGTTTTACGCGTGTCCTTTACTTATTTTTATAGCGAGACGGGGTCGCTCTCGACTGCCTTCCTGCAGCATCCAGTGTGTGTCTGATGAAATCCAGTTTTTTGCTGCTAGACCTGAAATTTGCTCCATTGTTCTCGACTCCCTCCTTTGTTAATATTTAATTAACATATAGGCTCACAAAGCCGACTGGCCTTGAGTCGCGGTCGGCTTTGTGCGGCGCCCGCGCGTGAGTCCGGCCCGCGCCAAGCCTTGGCGCCCGGGGCTCCTGCAGCACCTCCCGCGTGGCTCGCCTCGCAGCTTTCCGAGGCTTAACGAAACCCCTTCCCTGTAAGTAGTATTTCTTTCCTCGGCTTTTAAGAAGGAGCGGAGGGGCAGAGGGTGCTTGCTGAGGTTTGGCTTTATTTCCGAGTCCCCTAAGTGCTTTTTAAAAAAGAATTCGCAGGAAGAGAAACCGAAAGTACGGTTTTCAGATGTTCTTTCTCTGAAATAAGAGTTTTCGGAGGATGGAGTGTGTGTGATAGAACACGAACCCTAGGGTGGAGGAGACTGAAGGACAGAGACCTCGTTCTTCCCAGGGAGTGAAGGAGATGAGTCTGAGCTCCGCTCTGGAAGTGGGAGGTCTAAGGAGGCCAGGCCTCCCCCGAGGTCTTAGCCTCCAGTCCTAATATTTCTGCGGGTCCCAGGGTCGACCCGAGGCCCTAGAAGCCTCACTGGCCAGGCGAAAGCTAGGTCCAAGGATGCCGAGCCCTTGCTCCCCCGTCCTCAGCGTGGATGCGAAGGTGCCTGTGTGGCGCGGCGGGTGTGTGTGACCGCGGGTACACCTAAAACACCGGGAGTTGCCGCTGCACGCCCTGATCTCCTCCGTTGCCCACAGACCCTTTTCCTTTGGCCTCTGGTCAGCGCACCAGGACCCCACTTGGCTGGAGGTGGGGGAGTCGTCATCGGCCTGGCTCTGCAGGCCGTCCCTGACCCGCTTGGATGGGCACTGCGCGGGTAGGGGAGTCAGTACCGCTCAGCCTCTGCGCGCTTTAGGGCAGCACTTTAGGCCCCTAGATCTGAAGGAGGCCCTCTCCAGCTACAAGCGGAAGAGGACTCGACGGAGGGGCGGCGAAGCACCTCCAAAGTTGATTCATACTCTTTGCACAGAGACGCAGAAAGAAAGTCTCTGTTCCTAGCCTGTGTGTGGCCTGGCTGGCCTTTCCCGCACCCTGTGAACCTAGTGACTAAGGGAACCCTCTATCCCAAGACTCTTACCACTTTACCCTTTGCTTTGGATGGCTAGGTCCTGGGACCCTGGCACCCACCACACTTGCCCCACACACTGGCAAATCCGTAGGGAGAAGGGGGCAGGAACAGCAGAGGAACCCTTTGTGAGGAAGCTCTTGGAAGGGTCACTTTATGTTCTTGCCCAGCTCAGTCGGGTGGCCTGCTTCTGATGAGGCAGCCCCTCCCCACCCCCCACCCCCGGTCTGGGGTGGAAGGTGAGAACAAGCCACCAGGATCAGCACCCCAGCAGCAGCCAGACCCCTCTCCTGGGCAGAAGGCCTGAAGGGAGCGATAGATGCCAGAGGCTCAGGACAGGATATCTTGCTCCATCGAAGTCCTTCAAGGAAACAATGAACTTGGGCTCACTAGGCTGCATGAGAGGCTCAGCCCTGTCCCCTGCTTGTGAACCGCACTGCTTTGCCATCCTGTTGGAGGTTCCATACACAGGGGGACAAGATTCCCCCTGACTGTCTAGCCTACCCCCTTCTTTAATCTTACCCCATCTCCTCTCCCCTACCTCACCCCTTTTGCTGGGACCGTCTTGGAAAGGGATTGGGGAAGGGGGTGGGGGACACAAACAAGGCCAGAAAGTTTTAGGCTGGGCATTCCTTCTTCAGTTAGCTTTTGTTAGGATCCCCTAGTTTGTGATAGGTCTTTTAGCTAAATCTGCCAATTCGCCTCATTTCACCGCCCCCCATGCATTTTCCTAACAGCAAGTGGGCGCATGCCGGACCTCAAGTTTACACCCAGCCCAAGCTGTTCAACCCCGGTGTGGCCTTGGGCATGTCACTTTCTCTGGACTCTCTCAACCTCTCGAGCTTGGGTGACTGTGCTGCAGTATGCTTGTAGGCTCGAGCAGCCAGTAACCTCTGCCCCCTCTTCTTCCTGCCAATTAGGTCCCAGGTCCCGAAAACCAAAGAAGAAGAACCCCAACAAAGAGGACAAGCGGCCACGCACGGCCTTCACCGCTGAGCAGCTGCAGAGGCTCAAGGCAGAGTTTCAGACCAACAGGTACCTGACTGAGCAGCGGCGCCAGAGCCTGGCACAGGAGCTCAGTCTCAATGAGTCTCAAATCAAGATTTGGTTCCAGAACAAGAGGGCCAAAATTAAGAAAGCCACAGGCAACAAGAACACCCTGGCGGTGCACCTCATGGCGCAGGGTCTGTACAACCACTCCACCACGGCCAAGGAGGGCAAGTCGGACAGCGAGTAGGGGGAGCAGGGCGGGCAGGCCGGCCAGGTCTAGGGCCGTGCAAAACAATGCAATAATTTAAAAACCGTGAACAAAGGGCCAGTGTATAAAGATTATACCAGCATTATCTGTGAAAAATCCCATGTATTAGCTATGGTTCTACAAAAATCTGTGTATATATAATTTACAGGTGGTGTAAAATCCAAAATATCTGACTATAAAATATTTTTTGAGTTTTTTGTGTTCAAGAGGTTATGCTAATTTTATCTTATTATTATTCTTTCTGCAAAGGAGGCTGTTTAGGGTTTCAAATCTTTCTATTTCTTCCTTCTTTTCTTCCTTCTATCCTCCCTTTCTTTTTCTTTTGTTCCCTAAACTCCATTATGGGACATCGGACACTTTTTCTTCCCCAAAAGAAAAAAAAAAATTAAAACAACTTGCTAAAGTCCAAAGATTTTTATTGCTGCATTTCACAGGACTGTGAACCGAATAAATAGCTCCTATTTGGTCTGTGGGCTCTGCCGCTTGCTTCGTGCTGGCTTGGCCAGCGCTATAAGAAGTGCCAGCATGGTGACTGGAGAGCTCTGGACTCTGGTGGGGAGAGAGGACACAGTTCTTTGGCTGAGGTCTGAGGAAGTCCAGGCAGGCCGAAAGCTCTCCAGGCACCTCTCCATGCCTGCCTCCTACAGCCTCTCCTCCCAACCACCTCAGAGGCCCGCGCTGGCCACCACCATGTGTTTGCGTCTTGTCAATGACCCCTGTCCCGGTAGTGACCTGCCAGCACCAACTCTCCCACCTCAGACACTGAGGATGGGCGCTTGGGGCCTTGGGAGAGGTGGAAGTGTGACCTCAAGGTTTGAAGGCTTTGCTGCGGGGACAGCTAGCCCTGACCCAAAAGCCCCACCAAGGTCGGCCTTGGGGCCTGGCAGAACGAGTTGGCATTGTCTTTTTTTTTCTTTTTTCTTCCCTCTTTTTTCTTTTTGACTTATTTTTGAGTGGTAAATACATGTATGTGTATATACTCCTGTATGCATGTGCACGCACACCCCAGGCCTGTGTGAAGCTGGGGTTCTGGAGCTCGCAGCCACCTTGATTTTTCAAAGAAACTTGGAACCCTCCTGAATCTAGAGGAAGTGTGTAAATAATCGTTTCTTATCACTTTTTGTCTTTTTTGTTTTTTTAAGAAAATATACATTTTATTTTTGAAGGTGTGGTACTGTGTAAATTAAATATATTCAATATATCCCTCACCAAGTACATATATATATAAGCAAACACATTATATATAACTTCACAATGTCTTCTGTTTAGTGTATGGGAAAAGGTGTCCAAATGTCCACCTGGGGCCAGCACAGTGGCCGAGGGTGTTCTCGGTTGAGCTAGGAGTCAGGCTACCTGCTGAGGACTGACGGTGGATTTCTCTCTTTGCCTTAAACCTCTTTATTTCACTGCGCCAATACTTTCACTCTGTACATATTAGTGCCAACCTTCTGAAAAGGAAGCTATAAAGACAAAAGTTGTAATTTAAGAGTCTGTGAATAACCATCCGCTGCTTGGGAATCAGTGAAGCCTTTTCGCAGGAAGCAAATCTGTCTTTTTTAAGTTTATAAGATGTGCATTTTACAGTATCAAATATTTATAATCTTATGAGGAATGGATGAATGTTCCCTACTCACAACTGTGGCTATCAGAATTGTGAACATTCCAACCTGTGCATTTTGTGTGTTTAAATTCTTGAAAGTTACATTAAATAAAAAGAAACAGCTCTTTATTATAAAACGCTGGCAATAGGAGGTGGGCTTTCTCCACGTGTGCGTCTGAGCCCAGGAACCACCCCAAGGTGGTCTCTCTCGTGCCCAGGTGCTACACCTACCCTTGAAACAAGAGATTGTTTCTTTTAAGTAATGACCTTTGAATATCTAGCATGTAAGCACAGAACAGAGGAAGTAATTTCTGTTCCCATTTAGTCTCCAGGAAGAATGAGTCAAAACATGCTGCTTCCACTCACTGGAGTGTCTGGGTGTATGAGATCTAAAGGTCTTTTCAACCCTTCCCACTGCACCTGAGTGCTGGGGTGTCTGTGCTCCTGCTGGGTGGAAGAGCTCCCCAGGGGACACTCTCTTCTTCTGAATGCTCTTTTTGCCCCCCCCCACGCACACATACACACACACACACACACACACACACACACACACACACACACACACGCTGCCAACGCAAAGGACCAACATCGGGGAAGAGCCAGGGCCCTTGGGAAAGTATTCCCAAACTTTCTTGGCTTGACGGAAAGTTGGTTTTGTTTGTTTGTTTTTGTTTTTCTCCTAGGAAAAGAAACTCAGGGTGTCAAAGATTGTTGTCAAGGGCAACCTTCTAGGCTATCAGGCACTTCGGGGGGGGGGGGAGGAGATGCTGGGCCACCATTCCTACCACTCAGGGGACAGTCAAGGAAGAGAGTTGGGCCCACTTCAAGGTCACCCAAAGCCTCTATGCCACTGCCCAGGAGTGTTTCAGGGTTATTGTGAGGTTCCGAGTGACACCATCTCTTCTTCAAGACCTTGTCTTCTACACATCCCTGAGGGCTTAGCTTCAAAACACTACCACAATTTACATTGCTCTGTTGGCCTCTTGTTTTAATAAAAACAGCGACATTCATCTTTTTTTCAAACCTTAACACTGGTAGGGAAAGGGGGTACAGCTTTGTGAAGTAATGAGCTCCTGGGCCCCATAGGTGGTCAAGCAGATGCCAGCCAGCCAGTAACACCAGGTTGTAGGGGTTTTATTTGTTTTGTCTGTGATAAGGCCCTGAACTGGAAGGACCAGTTACTTTTTCTTTGCGTTACTTTTTCTTCAAAGCAAGCAACCAGAGCTGGAGCCTTTGCTGTGCTAGTACTGCTCTCTCATCCGGGAGGAGCAGAAAACTACATCCCAGCAGCTGGGAGGGCAGGGCACCTTCGGAGGTACTGCCGATTCCCCAATTCTAACCCTGCCCCTGCAGCTCTGTGTACTTTGGAGATGGACAGGGAGCCTGGCTACTGGTCCCTGGCTTGAAGCTCACCCTGCAGGAGGAGGGAATCCCAAGTGGGAGAGGAATCTTTGCCTTTTGGATCTCCTGCCACGGACTTAGTATGCCTCTGCCTCACCCAAGCTGAGCTGATTCTTCAGTTCTTCACAACACACTGAAACTAGGGAAGCGCCTGGGAATTTAACAGAGGGCTAGCTGTGACCTTCAGGCTCAGCCAACTATCCCCTCTTCCCTCCCTCCCAGCAATGATGCTGACTGAGAAAGCCCAGCCAAACTCAGCTCACTTAAGGTGCTCTCTCTGACCTGGTTCTGACAACAGCAATCATATGAGTAGGATCTGGGGTCAACTCTGCGCAAAGGCTGCCCCGTGTGCACCTGGATCGTGCTTCCTTTTAAGGAGGGGGATGAAGGAGACTCCCATGTCACCCCAGCTTGATCTCACAGAGCTCCAAGTCTGGATTTGGTTTTTTGTTGGTTCTGTTGGTTTTTGTTTTTCCTTGAGTGGACAGGACAACAGTGAGGTGACTTTGGCCACTTGACACTGGTACACAGATATCAAGAGCCTAGGTATGCAAGCGGTCCAGCCCGCCTGAGCTCAGCCTGGAAGTTTATTGGCAGGCCTCTGCTAAATAAACTTCATTCTGCCCCCCCCCCCGTTTATTTAATATACGACCTCTGCGCTCTCTTTTTGCCTGGGCCCTTCCCCTAGAGCCCCCAGGAGAGTCCCGGCTCCAGCGAAAACTGCAGCCTGCCTGGAGGAGCCAGCTCGCACTGGGGGCTGATAAGGACTGACGCAGACACAGGGCTGTGGCGCCATCCCTGAAGGCAAGGACTGCGCCAGCGAGCGAGGCAGAAATTATCCTCCCGAGACGAGACTGATCTACCCCCACCGCTGAGCTCCCCACGCGGGGCCTCGGGGCTGGGAACCCCTTCTTTGCGCCTTGGCTCTATCCCCGCGGAGGACTAGGCTGTGTCTGAGCCTGGAAGTAGCGGGGCGGGGAGCCACAGAGGGGTACAGCGTTGGGTCCCTCGGACTTAGGGCCGCACTGGCGCGGCTGGGAGTGCTGGTGCGCGCCGAGCCCTTACCGCCTCACAGTTGCCGGGCTGGAACCCTGAGTAGACCGTGCCTGTTTTTATTAATAACCTCAAATACCTCATTATGCTTATGCTGCCTGCCCATGGAAAAGAAAAGGGCATTCTTGAAATCTCCGCAAATGTAATAATATTCATTAAAGTCGTTCCTAATTATATGATTTAATCAAGCGTGGTAGGCCTGCGCTTTTGCTCTTGCCTGCAAGAAAACCGAGGGTGGATGGCGTTACTATTGTTATTGTTGGTACTGGCCGGGTCCTGGCCGCTAGTACGACTGCCAGCTCCTCAGCTGAGGCCCAGTCCCCTCAAGTGGATTTGAGGGCGCCTCCCTGAAATGGAAGTAGGGTTCCCCTGGAAGGACTGTATAATTGCCAGTACCCGGTAAGGCTCAGGCCTAGTTCCAAGCAAGGCATGAGCCGCTCCCAGAGCAGGGTAGGCTTTCTTCTGGCCCTAGGGACCATCTGTGTTCGAGGGGGAGCACCAGGGAGGCTTTCTGGGAAAGCAGAACTTCGGGTCCCGCCCCTTCCAGGGCCGAGTGTAGCGCAGCGCCTGGAGCAGAAACAAAGAATGGTGGGGAAGAGAGATCTGCCTCCCCGCTGCCTTTTTACCCCCTCAGCCTGGAAGACGTCCCAAAGAGTCCTTTCCCTTGTCCCCACCCCCAAGACACAGAGGAAAGAAGAGCCTAAGGCCCGGTGGGCCTGCGTGGCTCTTGTGCCCCCGCGCCACTTTTTCTTTAGAGAGATGGCTAGCTCAGGCGGGAAGCGCCACGTCCCACCCAGAGTTGGGTCCTCTGTGGGGGTCAGGAATGGTGGCGGCCACTGATTGCAGGACCGTCTGGGAAAACAACCAGGCCACTGCTTGCTGCTCAGCCCAGACCCGAAACTTGGCCGCGTGGTCCCGTCGCGCTGCCTGCGGAAGGGGCCGGCTTCGCTCCTTTCAGCTGGCGCATTGGGGTTCTCGTCTCCCGCCAAGTCCTTTGTCTGGATGGGGGCTGTCAGGCTCTGTCATCGTGGCTTGCCCTCCTCCTTTCCCCAACCACTACCCCCTCCACTAACTTCCTTTTCTCTTTTTTTCTCTTCCTTGGATGGGTAGTCACAGGCCCCAGCTGCAGCGCAAGGAGCTTCTGCCCCTCCC